GAACCTTGGTTTAACATCTCGCCAAAATGACAGCACTTCCAGCAGTGTAGCACTCCCTCAGTACTGCACTGGCAATGTAAGCCTACATAAAGAAATAAGGTTAAATAAATGTCCAAATTAGATAGGATCATGATATTTTTCTCTTATACTATATACTTATTAGGACAGACATCAGAACTGTTGTTTTTTCAACAGGTCTTTTACTGTGTTGGGATTAGAAAAACTGACTGACACAAATTGTGGCCTACCATGCTAAAGTAAATCACCCGGCTCTTGAGAACTCATCCTATTGATTTCAATTATCCCTATTACGTCTGTGACGAAAAATATTTACACACCTATCCATATTCAGTGGCACTCCTTCCATTACTTTCCAATTTATGAAGGGGATTGCTTTTAACTGGATTTGATATTGGCTGAGAACAGCACTATCCCAGGAACAGGACAATGCTTCGGGAGGCTGGTCATGGCCGACATCAACTCTAGCCTCCCAGCCTGCCTCGATCCCTTACAATTTGCCTACCGATGAAACAGGTCCACAGCAGACACCATTTTCCTAGCCCTACACTCATCCCTGGAACATCTGGATAACAAGGGCACCTAAATTAGGTTCCTACTTATCAACTACAGCTCTGCCTTCAACATCAAAATCCCCTCCAGCCTAACCTCAAAACTCTGAGATCTCGGTCTCAGCTCCGCACTCTGGAACTGGATCCTCAGCTTCCTGACCCACAGACCGCAATCAGCGAAGATAGACAATGGCACCTCCTCCCCAACAACCCTCAATCCCAAGGATGCATTCTCAGCACCGTACTGTATTCCCTGTACAGCCAGTAATGCATAACCCAATTCCAAATGAACACCATCTACAAGTTTGCTGATAACAACACCGTGGTAGGATGGATATCAAAGAGCAATGTTAGAATACAGGAAGGAGATCGAGGGCTTGGTGTCATGGTGCAATGACAACTACCTCTCTCTTAATGTCGGCAAAACAAAAGAATTGATCATTGACTTCAGGAAGAAAGGAGGAGGACACACCCCCATCTACATCAACGGAGCGGAGGTGGAGAGGGTTGAGAGTGTCAAGTTCCTCGGAGTGACAATAACTGACAATCTGTCCTGGACTTCCTCAGGCGGCTCAGGAAATTTGGCATGTCCATAAGGTCCCTCACCAACTTCTACAGATGCACCACAGAAACCATTCTATCTGGGTGCATAATGACTTGGTACGGCAACTGTACTGCCCAGAACCATAAGAAACTACAAAACATTGTGTGCACAGCCCAGACCATCACGGAAGCCAACCTCTCATCCGTGGACTCCATTTACACTTGTCGTTGTCATAGAAAGGCTGCCAACATCATCAAAGACACCTCCCACCCCAGTAATGCTCTCTTGCAACCTCTTCCATCAAGCAGAAGATACAGAAGCATGAACACATGCACCAACAGGTTCAAGAACAGCTTCTTCCCTGCCGTTATTAGACTGCTGAATGGACTCTCTAACTGATTTGATTTGATTATATTGTCATGTGTACCGAAATACAGTGAAAATCTTTGTTTATGAGCAGTACAGGTAGATCACAGCAAGCAAAGGATGTAGAGATCAAAAAGACTTAGAGGCATACAGGTTATATTGTAGGTTTCATTATTTGAGGCTAAAGTCCATTCAACAGTCTGATAATGGCAGGAAAGAAGCTGTTCCTGAACCTGCTTGTGTGTATGTTCAGGTTTCTGTATCTTCTGCCTGATGGAAGAGTTGTAGGAGATCATTACTGGGGTGCAATGGGTCTTTGATGATGTTGGCAGCGAGCCATGTAAATGGAGCCCATGGATAGAAGGGTTGGCTTCCGTGATGGTCTGGACTGTGCACACCACCTTCTGTAGTTTCTTACGGTCCTGGGCAGAGCATTTACCATACCAGGCCGTTATGCACCAGGACAGTATGCTTTCAGTGGTGCATCTGTAGAAGTTGGTGAGGGGTATTATGGGCATGCCAAATTTCCTGAATGTTGGCAAAACAACGCCTGAGGAAGAAGAGGCGCTGTTGTGTCTTCTTATCACATTTATGTGGGAAGTCCAGGACAGGTCGTCAGTTATCGTTACTCCTAGGAACTTGATGCTCTTCACCCTCTCAACCTCAGTTCCATTGATATAGATGGGGACATGTTCTCCTCCTTTCTTTCTGAAGTCGATGATTAGTTCTTTAGTTTTGCTGATGTTGAGAGACAGATGGTTTTCATTGCACCACATCACCAAGCCCTCTATCTCCCTTTTGTATTTTGACTCATTATTGTTAGATATCCATCCCACTACAGTGGTGTCAGCAGCGAACTTGTAGATGGTGTTCGTTTGGAATTTGGCAACACTATTGTAGGTATACAAGGAGTACAGTAGGAGGCTGAGGATGCATTCTTGGGGGGCTCCAGTGCTGAGTGCTTTTGAGGAAGTACAGTTACCTATCCTCACTGTTTGCAGCCTGTGGGTCAGAAAGCTGAGGATCCAGTTGCAGAGGTAATGCTGATGTTGCTAATGTTGATCTTGCACCTCCTGTGCAGTGTAACCTGTATGCCTCGCTCTGTCTAAGCATCCTATGATCAATATGTCCTTGTCTGCTATGATCTACCTGTATGCTGCTTGCAAAACAAAGCTTTTCGCTGTACTTAGGTACATGTGACTACAATAAATCAAATCAAAGCAACAGAAACCCAGAAAAATTAACTATATTCAAAACAGTTCAACAAAATTGAAAAAAAAAATTATTATTTTACTTGGGCGTTTGTTATATTAATGGATGAATTATTTTTGCATGTTTCTTTCAATAACAGTAAGAGTGGCTCTATGCAGTTGTGGTTTCGGTGTAGATCCAGAATATTATCGCAATTTCCTTTTGTAATGTCTGGCACCACTCACTTGTACAGAATATTCCACAATTGAACATTTAAAGAAATCTATCACACAGATACTATGTTTCCTATCCACGTAACAACGTTGACATCAGTCAGAAGGCTGGGATATTCAACAAAAGAACCCTTACAAATCAAGCCAAGTTTATTTTAAGCACTATTTCTCCATGCCAAATTGGACTTAAGGACAACATTATTCTCCAGATTACTTGATTTCACTAAGCATATGAGTAAACAGGCAATAATTTATAATGATAGGAATAACAACAGTCCATTCAGGCCTGCAAACCTCTTCTGTCAGTTTACCCAAACCCTGCCTCCTCTCTTTGGAGCACTGGAATAGCAAGGAAGTCCTGTTGTGACCAACTCAAGACTTTCTCTAGGATTGGACAGATTAGCCTCAGCACATCTATCTTAAATTCTGGGAGACTCCTAAAAATTCCCAGAAGGTTGGCAACACTTGTGTGAAAATGTTCAAGGGACAGTGAGAGATCCTATTTGGAAGAATGAAGTCGAATTATAATACTTATGCATAAACCCATATCTGCAACTTATATTTGTTGGTTAATCCACTATTACAGAAATACTGTTGCAAGATTGCAACCATTATAATCTCTGGCTGCAATATCTTTTAAAGTATTTAAGGAACTTCCTGTCTTAAATGAAGAAGGATAGCAGGTAATGGACTTATAACAGAAAGATAGCTGTGTTCTCATGAAATAGCCATTTGGGCTCAGAATGAACAGGAATGGCTATATGCACAAGCATAAACTGACCTATAAGGTAGACACTAAGAAATGTCAGTTAATATTATTTTCCCACAAAAGGGAGGAATTATTGTGGCACTTGCCAAGACATTGCTTCAAACTACCTTCAGCAGGTTGGCAATGCATTTTTAAGAGTTACAAAATAGTCCTTAGTCCCAGCTGCTGGATTGAGGGTAGGTGGAGATTATCAGATTCAATAAAAAGTGTAACAGCGTCTGTTTGTTTCAAAATGTGAATCTAGCACAGTTATGACACAATACTTGTCAGAAGTTATGGGTTCATGTCTTAAATGCACTCATTGAACACAATATAAACCGACACATCAGAATAGTATTGGGGCAGTGCTGCATTTTCAGAGTTGGTTTCTTTCGGATGTGATGTTAAACCAAGGGGTCATCAGTCAATTCATCTGGATAGGTTATAGGGTAACTGGATCGATTCACCAGAAATAATTTATGTTGAATTTACAGATTAATAAATATCTTTACAACTGATGTGTATCTAGAAAGAACAACCCTCGATTGATTTGTAGCTTGTGTACCACATATAACTGGGATATCCTGTGTGGATGGAAACCAAAAAGCCGTCATACTGCAGAGTTATGGCATTGGAAGTGATTCTCCGCAAAAGCTATCAAGTGCACCATGAAAGACTCAATAATGTCTGACTGATGTAAACCCAGGAAGAATGTGAGGGAATGCAGCGATGAAAAGGGAGACACTAAGCAATAATTTATAATTTTTTTTTCTGAATACGAACGGTAGGAAGAAATCCAGTCATTTCATTGCCACAGGTCTCAAGGTGTGCTTCATGATAATGTGAAACTATGTAACTATGTTTGTGGTCACTGTTAATAATTAAAAGGACCAAAGGATTTGCTGGAAACTTCTAGAGGATCAGTGGACAGATCGCCAGATATTTTTATTCCTGTTTTCAATGGTTTGTTGATAAGTGCTTGAATTATTTATATTTCAGAGTTTAGCTCTTGCAGTCATGTCCTGTAAACAATTTAATAGTACCTATCTTCCTCCATGCATGAGGGTGGGTCTTCTTCATTGTAGATGTCTCTATCCTTCCCTGTCATTTCATGTCTATCTCATGGATGATAAAATGTAAATGAATGACAAGCTAAACCAGATCATCTCTTTCCTACCCATTAATGAAGCACTTTGCTTCTGGGCTGCATTTTTGAGCTTTGCAGAAGTGGAACAACTCTGGAATTTTTGGTAAATTACAACCATGAAAACTCAAATGCAAAATGTCCTATCAGAATGTGACTAAATTGCTGCAACGTCACCAAATAATTAAGGTAAGTAAACACTCACCTTCACATATCTTCTGCTGCATTGCTTCCTTAATTCTGTCTATAGTTCTGTAATCGTCAGCAAATATGACATAAGTTGTAGATGGTTTGTTGCCAATCATTTTAAGCTCTGATTCTGTTATTTCAGATCCAACTCCGACAGCAAACAGGATAATTTTGTCAGAACGTGCTTCAACAGAAGCATCAACAACATCATCCTGAGACTTTCCATCTGTGACGACAACGGCAATTTTGTTTTTAGCTGTCTTATTTCTTTGTGAAGACGGAAAAACAATCTCTGTTGCAAACTTAATAGCACGACCTGTTTGAGTATTTCCACCAAGGTATTGAATATTTTCTATTCCAGCAATTAGTTCTTTATTGGTCAGGAATTGGCCAAATGAAATTTCCAGACGTGGGGTGTCACTGTACTGGATAACGGCAACTTGAGTGTATTCAGGTCCAATATCAAAGCCACTTGTGACATTAACAAGCCACGTTTTTGCTATTTCAAAGTTGTTAGATCCCACACTCCAAGATCCATCCATAATGAAAACCAAGTCATTCACTGCTGTTCTGCATCCTGTTGACAGATCAGAAGTAATCAATGAAAATCCTAAATATTTATGTGAAAACAAAAATGCTATTTCTGCTGTTGGCAAAGCATCCCACCAAGGTTACTTCTAAATCTGTTGCACAATGCCACCCAATGTATGTGGAGTTGAAAGCATGAATGTTGCTCAAAGGCCTGCAATGAGACTTTATTAAGGTACTAACAACCAAAACGATATTTGTTACTTGCACAGTTCCCCTGGTTCCATTGGTCTCCATTTGATCAAAACATCCAGTTCAAAATGGTAATCATGACCTCCAAAAATGTGAAAAAGTATGGGAATGTAAGGTCCATGCTATTATTAAATATCAAGAAATACAGAACATTAATGATTTAAGTATTTTTTTCAATAAGTCAACAATTCATATGGGAATGGATCTGCCAATGCCAACCTACATTAGGACGTGGACAATATCCAAGTTTGCACTGACAAGTAGCAAGTAAGATATAAATCAGTAAAGATGATCTCAAAAAAGGCAAAATCCCATTGTCTACTCACACACCATCCCTGATCATGAAAGACACACAATGATCTGTTTCTCTGCCACGAACATCCTGGACTAGTTGGAAGCTTAGTCTTATCAAATCCACAATGTTGTCAGAGTGCGGATACTCTGTAATGAATGTCACAGGTCCTAACATCACTCCACCATCTACAAGGCTCAATTCAGGAATCCCATAGAGTACACACCGCTTGTGTAGATGGATTTGGTTGCAACATTCATGAATCTCATCACCACTGGTTTACTGTACTTTGTTTGTTTGGTACCCCCCACCCACTGCTAAACAGAATATCCATCCCTTTCATCATCAGCACGCTGTGGCTGCAACATGTACCACTTACAGGCTAACTTTATTTGAATGCTAGAAGCAAAGAACAAGATGGCGGCAGAATCCTGAGCTGGAGCTCATCTGCTCTGACTGATTTTCAATTCTATCTTTTTTTTTTCTCTTTTCTCTTTTTTTTTGTCCCTCTATATCTTTACTTACTTTGTGTCCTGAGCTCAGACAGCATTGGTGGCGGTGAGAACCCAGCATGGATTTCAAGCGGGCTCAGTGCCCAGCGCAGAGATGAATGAGCACAGTCAGTGAGCCCTTCCTTACTTTCCCAGGGCAAGCATGGAACCTTGCATCAGAATCGGTGGCTGCTCCGGTGGAGGCAACATTGGCGAGGTGGGCCCAGCGGCAAAATATGGCATCTGAGGATTGATGACTTCATCGCTGGGTGGGCTCCGGAGCTGGCAGTGGTGAAGCGGTGGTGGAAATGCATCACAGTGACATCAACAAGGTGGGCCCAGCAGCGAGAGATGCGACTCCGATAATGGTTGGTCCAACGTGGGTGGCGGCAAGGCAGAGGAGTATCGGTGAAAGATGGCGCCTGAGTATCGGCAAATTGTTTGGGTCCAGTTTGGACGACGACAAAGCAGCGGACCAAAGCTGGTGACGGAGGTGTCGTCGATGGTGATAAGCTGGCTCAGGACTGATGGGCTCTCTTTAACATTTTTTTAATCCTTATACATATATTATTGAAATGACGCCAAAGGAAAGCTTTGCACAGTATTTTATTGTACTCTAACTGTAAAATACACGTGAAAATAAAATCATTCATTCATAACTTCCAGCATTACAAACATCATGGTTAAGAATGAGAGAAGCAATGTCATAAGAAACCATCATCTCCAAGTTCCTCTCCAGGGCACACACCAGCAATATGTTTTGAGTTATCAGCGTTCCTTCATGCTGCTGGACCAAGATCCTGGAATTTCACTTTCACTTCCATAATGGAGGCAACATCGCCAAAAGGACTGCAGCAACTCAAGAATGAAGGCCACCACCAGCTTCCTGGGGCAACTGGGCCGGATAATACCTGTAGCACTGCCAGTATCACTCTCATTTAAGAGCTAGTTTAAAAAAAAAAGCACTTGTAGCATGATTAACTCTGTTCCTATATTCAGACCAGGAAACTAAATGGTTTGCAGAAAATTTTGATCCATTTCTATGTTCATTCATGTAAGTCATGGGGCAGAGGTACATTACTTTTCAATAAAAGACATGGAAATATATAGTCCCCTATGTTTTCTATGAAACAAAGCTGAAAAGTGCCACCTTTTTCTTTAATTTCTCCATTATAATGTGATATGGATATGTATTATAAAATAATCATGGCATAATTTCAGAATCCTCAAACAACGATTATTTGAGCTATGGTAAAGGGCCTCTGAGTGAGGTATGGTACTGATAACATGATATGTTATGTAGAATTCTTACCTGCTCTTAAGTTTTCATCCTGCACAGCCCCACTAAATAAATGAGATGACAAACAGATCACTACAGCTTGTAATATGCATGACTTCATTGTACCTAAGGAGCAAAGGAAAGCAAATATTGTTACAGTGCAAAGTACAATTTGTAAATCTGACCCTGAGTGGACCTCATTATGAAATAAAATCCTAAACACATTGTTGTTAGGTCATGAGAAATAGGAGAAGAATTAGGCCATATGGTTGCTCGAGCCATCCACCATTAAATAGTATCATGGCTCATCCTCTAAACTAGTTCAGAAACTTGATAGAGTCATTACAGACTGAAGACAGCCATTCAGCATGCTGAAATAAAAACAGAAATTGCTAGAAAAGCTCAACGGGTATGGCAGCATTTGTGGAGAGATATCAGAGTTAATGTTTCGGATCCAGTGATCCTTCCTCAGAACTGAATCAGAAATGTAAATTCTGATTCTCTCCACAGATACTACCAGGCCTGCTGAGCTTTTCCAGCAATTTCTATTTTTTTTTTCTGATTTATAGCATCTGCAATCCTCTCGGTTTTTATTAATCACACTGAGTCTTGTGTTATACTTTGTGATTACTATGGCCTTTAGTCAACAGCTTGCATTTAGTTACGCCTCTTTAACTTAGGAAAATGCTCAAGGTGCCTCACAAACGCATAATGAAAAACCTTGTCAGTGTGGATATTGACCACAAGCTACGACACAAAATTACTTTATATATCTGTTGTACACTGTGATTTTTGCATATCCTCATCTGTATCGCAACTGATCTGGATTTCTAAATGTTTGCATATGTGGGTGATGTATGATCCAAAATGTACCTTCGATTACCCAGATATGTGAGCTTCAGACTCACATAAAATTTGACCAAAACATATGTTACTTACTGCTACTAAATTCTTAGATTAATCAAGAGCAATTGTCTTTCAGTTGAAGTAAAAGGTTCATACCTTGACATTCTGTTTTGAAGAAAATTATTTAGTCAAAGGAATTCAAAGCCTTGTAAAGTAGTATCCATAATCTAAAAAATATTTATCTTTGACTAATGTGAAGGTTTTCAGCTACAGTAAACCTCAAATCTAGTTAAACTGTTTGTAGAGAGTCTTGATTACACTATATATTTGTAGTATAACATTCTTCCATCATGGAAAAGGGGACTGAAATCACCACACAAATACCATAAGAAATAAGAATTATTTGATTCCCTGAAGTGGTTAATCTCTAATAAACACTGTTAAGATCCGAAAAATGTTCCAAGACCCTTGTTTAATTGAGCTGTTTTGTTCAGTTCTGATTTTGTCCCATTCTTATCACTATCTCCAATGTTATTGACCCTAAATTGCCTCCACATCCTTTCATTTGCACAGTTTCTCAGCCAAATATTTCCCTGCACTATATTCCCTTTATATTCTCTTAACTCTGTTTAAACTCCTTAATCATAGTTTAAACTAACAGCCTGGTCCCATTGAATGTGAGACAGTGGCAGAATCTCATTTCCAGGGGTATTAATTAATTGGTAGCTGTGGAAAAGTATTTCATCAACGGACAATGATATAATCCTATTAAAATGATTAGTGTTAATAACTGGTACTTTAATCTCCAGGTAGGCTTCGTGATATGAAGATTAATCAAATAGCGTTTTGTATTGGATCACCCAGCTACCTAACACATTACAGCTGAGGCAACCCTTTATCCTTTGTTTCCTTTGGCATTGTAAGCAATATGTAAATGCCTCCCAAAAACAGTCACAACCAAAAGCAGAAAATTACATTCCCTGTAGACGTTGCCTTGACTTCAGACTGGTCCAGTTTTGCTCATCTGGAATTTATCTAAAAAACTCAAGTAAATCCCTTTCCTGACACACTGAGATACTAACTCTTACAAATTCTTCCAGTGCATCAGAGGGCTAGTTTTGGCCCCCATCGTGAAACCCGACCAGCTCATGGAGGTATGACTAACACTGGCAGCTCACCCCAACTAAGCAGATGGACAAGAGCTAAGCAATCCCAGAACCAATGGATCAGATCAAAGCTCTGCAATCCCGCTGCAACCTGATGGACAACTGAACAAATGACAAGAGGGGGAGGCTCAATAAATGTCCCCATCCCCAATGATGGGGGAGCCCTGCAAATTAGTGGAAAAGACAAGACTGAAGCATTTGCAACAATCTTCAACTGAAACTTCTGAGTCATTAATGCATTTCAGTCTCCTGCTGAGATCCCCAGCAGCAGAGCTGCCAGTCTTCAACCAAGTTAATTCACTCCATGTAATATTAAGAAATGTCTGAAGGACTGCTTTGCACTGCTATTGCAAAGGCTACTGCAACTGTTGTATTATCGCATAGATTCTGTACCTTTAAGACAATTACTGTGATGTTCTAAAATAAAGACACCCACCTTACCTTGTGTCTCTTTCTCTTTCCCTGTGGGTGATGGATTAAGTGTAGGGTCTTCAGTCAGTCAGCTAGGAATATGTCGTGCACTATAACATCGGTAAGCACAGAATCCTAAATATGCCTATACGTCTGTGTCTCGTACAATGTAGATATTTAGTGTTGCAAGTAAGTTTCAGGATATCAGACTCAACAGAGCTTGCTAACTGTGCTGTATGTTACATGGGCTAATATACATATTTAAAAAACACAAATGGCATCACAGGCACTAGAAGCTAGTTGTGACAGGTGGGTAGTGCAGTATGTGCACACTAAAGACTGGGAAGGTGATAGCAACATGGCAGTGTGCAAAGTCAATTTTTGTAACAATCATTCAAGGCTTTAGGCCTAGTGTGGGAAAGTGAGACAGGTGTAGGTGATAGTATATTTTTGGCGGTACAGACATAATAAGCTGAAAGGCCTCTTCTGTAGTGTATGATTCCACGGCACATCAATCTGCCTAAGCTCAGAGATGAAGTTAATAAACGCAACCAAGCTAAAGCTCAGCAACCTTGTTCTCAGCATCTACAGTTGTAAGTATCTTGCCTTTACTGAAGATCAGGCTTCTCCAATCTCTCCAATAGTCTAATCCTGTAGTGCTTCTTCTCAGCAATAAATTCCCAATTAGACTTCCTTATGCACCACCAAGACTCCTAAGAGAGCACAGGGTGACTTCTCTTCATCAGCATTGACAGGATACAAGCAGAGTTGAAGAAAAAAATGCACCTCTGGCTGGTTGAGTCCTGCACTGTAAGATGTTAGTTGGTTCCAGCAAAAGGGACATACAAGACTTACTCAGGATTTCCAATTTGGTGCCGGTACAGACTGTCGCTTTTAAAGTATAGCAACTGAGAAAGACGAAAGATAACAGAAGTGGAAAGAGAAAAGTGAAAGGAAAAGAAGCAAGATCAATAGAAGAAAATAACCAAACCGCGCACTGCACTCTACTTCAAAAAGCAAAGCAAGGACCTGCAAAGACAAATGGAAGGGAAATTCTGTCAGAACTTCAATACTTTTAAAAATATTAACCTGTGCTTTATGAATCAGCAAATAACTGACAAAGAACAGAAAGCAGTAAAAATTCTCACTTTGGGCACTGACAGGCCAAGAAGATTCAAAACCTTAGGTATTTCTGATGCTGCCTGAAAAGATCCAAACAATTATTTTCCGGTTTAAGAAAATCAACTTAAAAGTGGAGTCAATTTCAGGATTCACAGACTTGAGTTCATGACGTACAACCAACAGCCAGCTGAAATGATTGACCAATTTATACGTAGATATTGATGTAAAGTTATGGAACGTGGTTTCACCAAAGCTAAGTTAGCTGAAAAAAAACCAGAAAGAACTGTGAATGCTGTTAATCAGGAACAAAAACAAAGTTGCTGGAGAATCTCGGCATGTCTGGCGGCATCTGTGAAGAAAAAACACAGTTAACATTTCGGGTCCGGTGACCCTTCCTCAGAACTGGGCAAGTTCCATTCATCCTTTATTTAAACATAAACATATAGTATACAAATGCCTTTACGCTAAAATAAGTCCTGAATACATGAGTGTTTGCGGTAATAGTTTGTGTTAAATTAATACAATCAAAAACTGCTTTGCAGATGATAATTGGGCAAAGGAATCATAGAAATTATAGCACTTTATGCAGTTGCCTGTACTATGTTCTTGTCCATCACGATAACACTTTCATAGCTGAGTCAGAAGGTTGAAGGTTTAAGTCCCACTTCACAGACCTGAGTAGTAAAATATAGGCTGAAACTCCAGTGCAGTACTGGAGTTTGCATAGTCAGAGCTGGGGTCAGGAAGCCCCATCTACCGTCTCAGGTGAATATTAATGATCCCGTGGCATTTATCCCTCACCCAGCATCGTGAAAACAGATGATATGATTTTAAAATTCTCCTTGTGGATTTTTCTGGGTGTAAATTAGCTACCAAATTCCCTTCATTCCTAGAATTTCTCAGGGTTCTAGAGGCAGGGTCAGGGAGAGCAGGAACCTTTCCAAGAAACCAGGACACGAAAGGGGAATATTCTCTTGGAATCCACGGCCCTGGCACTCAGAAGTTCGACATCACCCAATCCAACCCTCTCCAAGAACGTACATGATGAATGAAGTTAGGGGTCTGAAACATGTGGGCTATCTGTGCTGGCAAAGATAATGTCGATGGTGACCTAAGGTCCAATGTCAGGATAAACCTGGGCATCTCCCTTTGGCCCAGGACTAATCTCTATTCCATTTGAGTCCAATCCTATTTTCTTATATCTTTGTATATTCTTCACATTCAACTTAACCAGTTCTCTTTTAAATGATGCCATCGTCTTCCTATATGATGAAGCATTCTGCACTTCAACAACCCCTCCTGAAGAGAATATCCCCTCATCTCTCTCTTTATTCTTTTTGAGATCATTTTCACTCTATGTTCATTTTGTTATCACCTACCAAACAGTGGGAAAAGTATTTTATTGCTTGCCATCACAATGGAAGCTTCCACAATTTTGAAGACATGCAACTTCCGCTTAGCCTTCTCTTCTCTAAGGAAAAGTGGACCAGTTTTTTTTCATCCATTCTTCCCACTTCATCCCCTCGCCATAACTCTAACATTATTCTTGGAAAGGAATACTGAACTACTTTCCAGA